TATACTCGGAAGGAAGGTTGGGCAATCCTACTTCCGTAGTGATACTGCCTCGGAAACCCAAGGAGGGGTCGCTATGAGTCAGGGCCGACTCGACGGCACATAACAACAACAACAACATACAGGATTGCAAATTATTCACTTCTCATTTGTTTCACTGTGAAAGGAGGAATACTGGTAATACTTGAAATAATGGGTGTTGAATACGGCACAGGTCCAGGCAGTGTTTTGTTCTGTTGTACAAGAGTTGCTATGAGTTGGAGTACGTTCTGGTTATAGTAAGTACTTGCTAAGTGATGTTACTTGCCGTTGAGTCGGACCCGACTCATAGCGACCCCTCCTTGGGTTTCTGAGGTGGTATTTACTACAGAAGTAGATTGCCCAACCTTCCTTCTGAGAATTATTGTTTTTTTAAAAAAACACTATTGCTTCCACCAATATCAGTGCCACTAATTGAGGTTAATGGTGGTGTATTGGTTAAGTGCTCGGCAGCTAACCAAAAGCTTAGCAGTTAGAACCCACCTAATACTTCTGCAGGAGTAAGACCTGGCAATGCTTTTGTGAAGATTATAGCCTTGGAAATTCTATGGACCAGTTCTATCTACTCTATCACATGGGGTCACTATGATTTGAAAATTAACTCTATTTAAGGATGATAAGAAACTTTAGTAGTTGCACTCATTTGGGAGCCTTGATTTTGAAAATGTGGCAAAAGTAATACAGCAAAATGATTATTAGTGTAGTTTTTAGGGCCATTAGAAAATTATGCATCTTTTCTACCTCTGAAATAAGAAGAAAGTAGGAAATGGGCTATGTGTTGAAAGTTCCCAAGACTACTTCAGGAAATAAAATCTGAAGAAAAAAGTTTGTATTTAACTTCTTGATAATATGGTTTAACATATGCATATAAAACAATGTTTTGCATAATATATGTGATTATTATAGACAAAGAAGATATTAAAATATTTATTAAAAAACAAAACAAAAAAACTTCATCTCTTAATTTAAATAGGATACAGATTATAAACCAGTGCCGCTGAGAACAGGAGAAGGTGAAGAGTATATGCTGGCCTTGAAACAGGAGTTGAGAGAAACAATGAAAAGAATGCCTTATTTTATAGAAACCCCTGAAGAAAAACAAGGTTTGTATTTGACTCTTATGATACCGTTTTACGTATGCATATGAAATAATATTTTGGCATAATATATGGAATTATTTAATACTTAAGGAGCTCTGGTGGCACAGTGGTTAAGGCATTCGGCTGCTAACCAAAGGGTCAGCAGTTCAAACCCACCAGCTATCTGAGGGAGAAAGAAGAGGCAGTCTGCTTCCTTAAGATTTATAGCTTTAGAAACCCAATAGGACGGTTCTACTCTGTCCTATAGGGTTGCTATGAGTTGAAATTGACTCAGTGGCAGTGGGTTTTGTTTTTGTTTTATTTAATATTAACTGATGGCAAAATGGTTAAGGCATTTGCTGCTAACCCACCACCTTCTCTGTGAGAGAAAAGTGAGGCATTTTGCTTCCAATAAGATTTACCACCTGAGAAACCCTACGGGGCAGTTCTCTGTCCTATAAGGTCATTATGAGTTAGAATAGACTAGCTGGCAGTGGGTTTCGACTCTATTTGATCAGAAATTACCAACTACATTGAAAAAGCTTATGTATATGATTAAATAGAAAAAAATTATTTTTAATATTTTACTTTAAAAAAATAACTTTTCATA